GTGTGTGTGTACGTGTGCGCCTGTGGGGCCAATCAATCAATCAACGAAAAAATAAGAAAAAAAAAGCGCTGTTTTTTTTTTTTTTTTTTTCGAAATACCTTCACTCACCCAACCCCCCCCCACCTAAAAATTGTTTTTATTTTTTATTTTTTTTTGCTTGAGGGGGTGGGGCTGGGGTTGCGCCGCCCCATGGCGCTTCCCGAATCCCCAACCCCCCTCCCCACCGGCCGCCACGCGTCCGCGAAGTCGCGAACTCGGCCGCGGCCGCGGACTTGGCCGCGCTTGTCCGCCGCCGAGGGGGATTCACTGGGTCCCGGTGTGGGTGATGCAAAGGCTTGCTGTATGGTCTTTCTAAAATGGTGTGAAACACTCCACATACCCTGAATGCAACTCGCCGCGATTCGCGTCGTGGTAGCGTTACGGTTAGTTAAACACACACGGACGTACATTCACACACACATACACACATACACACACACATACACACGTTCACACACACACACACACACACACACACACACACACACACACACACACACACGTTCGCACACACATACTCATTGGCCCTCGCAAAAAAAACAGTAACAGAAAAAAAAATAAAAAAACGTAAAATCAAAGAAGACAGAACTGCCAACCAAAAATCGCCCCCCAAAAAAACTTCTAATTTCTCTTCTCCGCCTTTTCTGTTTTCCATTTTTTTAAATTCCCTAAAACTCATTTTTTCCTTTTTAAAATATGGAGTTGTAGGGATTGAAAAACCCTACCAGCCCTTTTTTTTTTTTGTTATTTTTTCCTATTATTTTCACACATACACACACACACACACACACACGTTCGCACAGACATACTAATCGGCCCTTGCAAAAAAACAGTACTTTTTCTTTTTTTCATTCCTTAATTTTATCCTTGTTAGACAACAGAAAAAAAAACAAAAAATTACCTAAAAATCGAAGAAGACAAAGAACTGCCAACCAAAAATCCCCCCCCAAAAGAACTTCTAATTTCTCTTCTCCCCCTTTTCTGTTTTTCATTTTTCAAAATTCCCTAGAACTCATTTTTTCCTTAAAGAAAAATATGGAGTTGTAGGGATTGAAAAACCCTACAACCCCATATTTGTCTTAGTTTTTTTTTCCTATTGTTTTTGACAGGAAAAATCCGTGAAAAACGCGGCCGCTATGCGGCCGCGGCCATGAACTTGGTTGCTCTCCGAGCTTGACCCCGTGGCCGCTATACATAGCTGGTAAGTCGATGGCTTATCAGACTGCGGTTGATCAGATGCCATCCATCTAGACTGCTGGTGGTATCGAGCGGCGTTAAGCGAGTGCATGCATGTCCAAGTACTTTTTTTAATAACCGAGTCTCTTGACAATGGCGCCCAAAGATAAAGGGGAACTAACCCTACCTACCGTCTTCTTCACGCGAATAGAATGCCCGGACATTATGCCTGCGTATTCGGGGCAGCTTTCAGTAGTCCAGATGCTGCGATAACGACCGGGTGTTCTGTTCGAGTCAAAACGTAGTGCAAGTCTCTGCTCACCTTATGCCAGCTTCTCGGTGACAGTTCATTACTTCGATGATTGCTGCCAGTAGTGTCACATGCATACTACAATCCGGACGTCCGTACCACCATCCAGAGGGTCTGGACCCCGTGGCCGCGATACATAGTTGGTAAGACGATGGCTTATCACACTGCAGTTGATCAGATGCCATCCATCTAGACTGCTGGTGGTATCGAGCGGCGTTAAGCGAGTGCATGCATGTCCAAGTACTTTTTCTTAATAACCGAGCCTCTTGACAATGGCGCCCAAAGATAAAGGGGAACTAACCCTACCTACCGTCTTCTTCACGCGAATAGAACGCCCGGTCATTATGCCTGCGTATTCGGGGCAGCTACTGACGTATTCGGGGCAGCTTTCAGTAGTCCAAATGCCGCGATAACATCCGGGTGTTCTGTTCGAGTCAAAACGTAGTGCAAGTCTCTGCTCACCTTATGCCAGCTTCTCGGTGACAGTTCATTACGCTGATGATTGCTGCCAGTAGTGTCACATGCATACTACAATCCAGACATCCTTACCACCATCCAGACGGTCTGGATTCAGTCCAGACTCCAGACGTCCACTTCAGAAGGGTCCGGATCTGCCAAATTTCGAGGGAGAAAAAAAGAAAAAAAGCAGTCCCGGTCCCCGGACCCTTCCACACTGAGGAGCCAAGCCCCCAAAATTGTTTTGGGTTTTTTTCAGGCCCATTTTTTATTTGTTGGGGGGTCCAGAAATGGTCTATATCTATAATAATTTATTAGACATACCCATTTCATTTTCAGTTGTCGACTTTTAACTCAAGTTTGGTTAGGAATTCGGACACGACTCTGTGGCAAAAGTGGTTTGCATTGTTATTCTGCATAACATACTTCTTTTTCTTCTTTTTCTTTTTTTTCTTTTTTTCTCTTTTTTTCTTTTTTTCTCTTTTCTAAATGCTCAGACATTTCCGGACCTGATTACCGGTCCGGACCATCCGGAACCATGCATGTCCGGAGGTCCGGATGTGTCCGGACGTCCGGACCCGACCGGCCATGCATCCGGTCCCTGGACATGAGCTGTCCGGTTCTGGGTCCCGGTCTGGCATAGCCATGGTCACAGGTATCAGTGCAACCGATTGGAACTGGACTCCATGACTGCCCCCCCCTCACTCACAATGCACCTATCTGTGCAGACAAGCTGCTAGGTAAACAAACAGGACAGCGACGAGCAGCCGTTCAGTGGTGGTGCACTCAAGCTGCTGTGCAAAGCTGCGAACAGTATTCTGGCACGCGGCCGTTCGGAAGGCTTCTGAGAGCAACTACCTGTGAAAAATGTCTCTTCTCAGACCACCACCACCGCTCCCATGCAAACTCTTGAGCATCGGAAAAGTAGCATTCTAAGTTCTTTAGCGGCCGGGCACAACCAGCCTGAACCAGGCACCAGCCAAAAGCCAAAAGCCAAAAGCGGAACAAAAAGATTCGCTGTTCAGAAAAGCTTGGCGTGCGGAGGGAATCCTCCTTGACAAGAACAGGCTCGGCGGTAGTCGTGGTTTCATTTGTTTTTGTTTTTGTTTTCGTTTTATTTAATGGTGTGATGCATCGATGCCAAACGGAGTGCATCATGATAAATGCTTATTTATACAGATATGCTGCGCACTTTCCGTGTTTCTCACTCAGCCTGATCACCACATCAGCAGAGCTGCATATATGCTTGCCACCAACCGCTCCGCTTTCTTCAATCTGTTTGATCTTTCGACATTCTCTCTAGAGTTGTGTGTTGCAAGTTATGTCGACCGGGCCACCGGCCTGGCATGGATGAGAAAACTCTCTTTCATTTTAGGTCCTACAGTTGCTACATAGATTTTTTGGCTACATTCGCCGAATCACATCGATCTGTTAGACGTGGGGCAGCTGAGCAAACAGGAAACAACACAGTTCTTTCTTTCCATAGGCTGGATGAATCACCAAGGCCACACCGCTGCAAGTCCATCGATCACACCGCATTCACGCGAGCACGATCAGTAAACACGTTTTTGAGGTTCACGCTTTTCGCTCTGTATACAGCAGCAGAGCGGCCATTAGCGACGCCGCCTTAGGCCACAAACACGATGCGTGCTTTGCAAGCAAGCCAGTTCAGTACATGTCGCATTCAGCTTCTTCTTCTTCTAAGAAGAACGAAGCTGCATGAGAATTCTTATTTTTCCTCTTTCCTTCCTCTTATTTCTCCTCCTCGTCTCTCTCCTCTCCTACGACTTCGCAATCTTGCGGCTCTCTGCTTCTTCCTCCTCCTCCTCCTTCTCCTCCCCCTCCTCCTCCATTCTTTTTCTCCTTCTTCTTCTCCTTCTTCTCCTTCTTCCAAGTCACTCCCGACCACATGCCATGTGGCTTCTTCATCTCCTCCTCCTCCTCCTCCTCCTCAAATTCTGTTACACGTGTTGTGTGCTGTCCTGCCTTTGACTTTGACCATGTGGCTCCCTTCCTCCTCCTGCCTTTGACTTTGTCCGTGTGGCTCCCTTCCTCCTCCTCCTGCCCAGATTGATCTTTCACCACACTGCCACATGAATTTCTCCCCTCCTCCTACTCCTCACAGCTCGATTCCCAATCACATCACAATGTTGCTTTCTTTATCTTCTCGTCCACCTCCTCCCTCCTCGTTTTCCTCCTCCTCCTCCTCCTCCTCCTCCTCCTCCTCCGGTGCTGGAATGTTTGGTGGATGCTGTTCTCGTTGACTTTGATGCCTGCAAACGCTACAAAAGGATGCGGCTGTACCTTGCAGCTATCACTCGATGGTATAGCGAACACCCACTAAGTTTTGATTGCTACCTTATTCTTTTTTTTTTTTTCTTCTTCTTCTTCTTCTTCTTCTTCTTCTTCTTCTTCTTTGCACAAAGATTGATACCTTATTATTCATATAAACCCTCTTTGTAACCTTCGGGACATCCGTTAAAATTGGAACGATACAGAGAAGATTAGCATGGCCCCTGCGCATTAAAAAAAAAAAAAACAAAAAAAAAAAACACTCCGGGGCTCGATCCACTACTCACCACATGCACAAAGGACGAAAAATATGGGCAACGTATCTTCTCCCCTGTTCTAGCGGAAGAGATTCATTCTCATTTTCCACATTTTTTGGTCGGTAGCGTAGCGACGGCCCTACAAAACATCATGCCCCCCTTCAACACATCATGCCCATACTTCAGTAGTCGCTGGCTGTCAACGAGGCCCAAAAAAAGCCACAAGGACTTTACGCAAAGAAGAAGAAGAAAGAAGCGGGAAGAGGGAAGGGAAAAAAAAGAAAGTGACCCAAAAAAAAAAAAAAAAAAAAAAAAAAAAAAAAAAAAAAAAAAAAAAAAAAAAAAGGTGAACTAAAGAAAAAATGAAAAGACAGTTGAAGGTCAAAACAAGGTGAGTGGGACCTTTTTTCCCGACAACACAACCACATCTCAAAAAGAGAGATTACGAAGAGAGGAAAGCGAGAAATATTGTCCGAATGTGTCGCCGAATATGCCTGCCATTATACCATGCCAAGGAGAATATCAAATACATGTGTCCTACTCCCAGCACCAGCAGCAGCAGCTTTGTAAAAAACTGTGCCATGACATGAACTGCGTTGCATGCCAGCAACGAACGAGTGGTCTTGCCGCAGCACCAGCCTGTCCGCCGCCAAATTGCACCAATTTCAAGCAAATCGAATCTTCTCGCTCGTCTCCGAGAGCCATTCTTTGCGGAAGAACAACATAGCGACATAGCGGAAGCTCTTCCTGCTGATAACCACTAGAGTGTGAAGGAAGGATTAACAAGCAAACGGGTGAAGAAGGCTTAACAACCTAATCACCTCCCTCTCCTAAGGGGTGCATCTACCTATAATCACCTACCTCCTCTTAAGCGCCCCCAACCTGTGGTAGCATGGAGTTCCGCCATGCAAACCGTAGTCACGAGAGGGTGAGAAAGAAAAGACGAAGGGGGTTCGGAACAGACAGTTTGGTTGTTTGATGCACTTATTTCACTGCCTCCTTGTCAGGACAGGACAGGTTCTCTAAGAAGCAGCTCTCATGATGCTGAGGAGGTACTCACAGTAGCTCTATATCTTAAATGTACCTGACCCTATTTGCGGCCGGCCGCGCCTGGATGCATCTCGCCACAATCAATTCCGTCCCGATGTAAGTCAAAAACTCCTACTGCTGTGAATATGCCCTGAAATAGACACACGATAATCCAATTTTTCATTCCTTACTTCCGAGTGTTCGCTCCGCTGCCACTCCTTGGCCTGCCATATCCCTTCCCTACCACCTCCTCGTCATCCATCACTGCCAGCCACCGACGAAGTATCAAGAATCTGGGCGATGAAAACACACACACACACACACGCACAAGAATAAAAAACAGGAATTGGAACAGTCATTGTGGAAGCCAAGGTACAACGAACATAGACCCAATTGGCTCCAGAGTTTTCCGCTCAGCTGTCACTCCCCGGCGTGACATGACATAAGCTCAACCTCGTCATAGTCCGTCACTGGCAACCAGCCAACCAACCAGCCAACCAACCAGCCAACCAACCAAGTCAACAAGGGGTCAAGTGGCCAGGACATTGGGGCATTGTGAAAAGCTAGCACAAGTCCTCGTCCAGGACATGCGTTAAAATGCGAACGACGCAGAGAGAGAAGATTAGCATGGCCCCTGCGCAAGGATGACACTCATAAACCGAAAAGCTTGCACAAGGCCGATGCACAAGATATTCCCCCATTGATTCCAGTGTTTTCTGCTCCGCTGTCGCTTTTTGACGGCATATCTCTACCTCCTCGTCCTGCTGCCAACCAATCAACCAGCCACCTCACCGATCAAGCAAACTAAGAGAAATACATGGCACCGGGAAACTCTGGGAGGCTGACCGGAAAAAAGAAAAGAGATCAGGAGACCCCTTCCAGCCTGTGTGGTGGGCCCAAGAATGCAAGGAGGGTAGCGAAGCGGGGGTATCCGTATCCCCGCCTCTTCCATTTCCCCACTCCTCCGAGAAACAAAATCCGCACTCGGCGGACTCCGTCGTTGTACACCCTACACTACAGAAGGGGCCATGCTGTAAGCAACCGCCATCATACTTCCCTCTATCTACGCTCGTCAGAGCATGGAAAAAAAAGACTCGAACGACGAGAGAGAGAGAGAGAGAGAGAGAGAGAGAGAGAGAGAGAGAGAGAGAGAGAGAGAGAGAGANAGAGAGAGAGAGAGAGAGAGAGAGAGAGAGAGAGAGAGAGAGAGAGAGAGAGAGAGAGAGAGAAGGAGAAGCGGACAATGCGATGCGACTTTCCCAAGCAAGCATGTCGAATTCAGAACCACAATATGCCGCCCGCTTCTCCTTTGTTACAAAATCTTACTTATGTACCCTCCTCTTTCCCCACCCGACCTTGCAACGGTTGGAGCAAAATGTGTGTCATCATCACTCGTCGGCACTGCTGTTCAAAAACGCCAAAGTCACCAAACGCCAAAATCACCAAACCAGGGGGTCAACAGGGACTGCTCAATTCAAAAATGTTAAGTGTGCACTCGTTGGCACGAGCCGCAGCAATCTTCTCAGCCATACTACCGGCTGGAGATGCACAGCCAACACTTGAAGAACTGAGCAAGCAAGAAGACCTACAAACACTAAGGAAAAAGAAAAATTTCCAAAAACAATCACGCCCCATGCATGGGCCATGTGTGTGCGCCACTATCACCTATAGTAGTCAAACGTCTGTCCCTCCCTCCCTCCCTCCCTCCACTCACTCCTTGCCTCCCCTCCTCCCTCCCTCCCTCCCTCCACTCACTCCTTGCCTCCCCTCCTCCCTCCCTCCCTTCTTCCTGTCAATTCATCTGCTGCCAGTCTTCTCTTCCCTCCTCCCCTCCATCACAACTTCTTCTTCGCTCTGTCTGTCCTTTCTTCCATCCATCCATGCATATCCATCTTTGTGTCCATCCTCCCCTGCCGCCCCCCCCCTGGTTTCGATGTCTCATTTCTCGCATGTACAAGAAAGGTGGAATTTGCTTATTGCCCACACTTGGTCCTTTTCAAACTTCAAAGATAAAATCTACAATCTCAAAATCTGAAAACTAACTCTGCCATGGAAACAGGTCGCAAATGAGGCAAAAGTTTTAAAGTTTCAAGACATCAAACACCCCATTCAAGCTTGACGCTTCAAGCTTGATCTTCCAGACCTATAACATAACTCGCGATGGAGAGAAAGCGGATGGAATACACAATGCGCCCTTTAGCAGGTTAGCAGCGGAAACCTGCGCTCATCTTGACGTCAACGCCCCAGATCATGGTGGTAGGCAAAATGTCTACATAGTAAATTTTGTTGAACCAACACTAAACAGGACTGTAATGGACATCAGCGAAGTTGGTGGTGCATCTGGTCTAGGTTTTGCTCTACATTCGCTCTACAAGCGACAACATCTTGTCTAGATTCTGATTGCTACTCTCCAAGAGACCTTTTCTTACCTTCTCCTCCCTCTCCCTTGCCAATTGCTGTAGCTCCCGTAACTCCTGCTCACGCTCCCGCAGCTCCTTCTCTCTCTCCCTGAGAGCATTCTCCCTCTCCTGGATCTCTTCTCTGGTAAACGTCAGCAGCTCCACCCCACTTCCTCCTCCTCCCACCGCCCACCCCTCTCTTGCTCCTTCTACAATCCCTCCGTCTCTGCCTCCCCCCGCTTCTTCGTTCGCTGCTCTCAAGGCATTCGCAAGCTCTCTCTGCAGAGAGTCTATCTCCTGACTAAACTGAAGGTCTCGCTGCCGAGCAAAAATGTTTTCCTTTTCCCGCTGTTGGATAAGCCGACTGATATTTCGAGCAATTGTTTCCGTCAACGGAAGTCGCGGTCTTTTCGTCGGTCTCGTGTCATCCGCACCACTGCTCCCACCACCTGCCCCGCCACTTGTGCCATCTCCACCTCCACCATCCGCTGCACCAGCCGTAGCGTCCTCTTGGCTGTTCCCACTCGTCTCTCGGGAAACCTCGCCTGTCACTTCGTCATGATCTGCTATCCGATCGACGTCATCTTGCTTTGCATGTGCGGCGCCCTCCTCGTCGTCCCCATCAGACAATGGCTGTGCCACCACAGCCATCTCCAAGGGACGTGCGACCTGAAGAGCGAGTTTTTCTGGCTTTCCTGCAGCGGGTGGAGGAGGGGAACTAAAGAGGCAAACCCCCCTCGACACACTCCCTGGTTTTCGTGCAGGGGGATACAGTTTCACCTTGTCTGATAGGTACCGCTCCAGCACGTCATAGTAGGATGGCTTCTTAAGATCTTCCACCTCTTCATCAGCTATGAGGCCCATTTCACTCCGATAGAGCTGCAGTTTGTACTTCTGCCACACATAAGACCAGCCACCAGATAATTTCCTGTCAGGGAAGGATGTCCTCTCTCTCTCTCTCTCTCTCTCTCTCTCTCTCTCTCTCTCTCTCTCTCTCTCACACACACACACACACACACACACACACACACACACACACAAGCATGATATTACTGACTCTTTTTCCTGTCAGGGAAGGGTGTCCTCTCTCTCTCTCTCTCTCTCTCTCTCTCTCTCTCTCTCTCTCTCTCTCTCTCTCTC